TGTGAGCGAGTGTGTATAAGTGTGTGTGAGGGAGTTTTGTGTGTGTGTGAGCGAGTGTGTGATAGTGTGTGTGAGCGAGTGTGTATAAGTGTGTGAGCAGTGAATGTGTGTAAGTGTGTGCGAGAGAGATTGTGCGTGTGTGTGAGCGAGTGTGTATAAGTGTGTGTGAGCGAGTGTGTGATAGTGTGTCAAGACGGGGAGAGAGTGATAAGAGCCAGTCTTTACACCCTAAACACCAACAGCTCTGCTCCTCAGTGGTGCCACGCTGGCGTGAGAAGCAGAGCCCAGGGTGCCCCTCGGCACAGCTCTCCAGCGGGCTGCTCAGAGTCAGACGTGTTTCACACCCCCGCAGACGGGCCACAGGCGCCGCAGCACTGACCAGGAGTTCAGCTGTTGCTCCACGCTGCCCCCTCCTCCTCGAAGACACAAACGCACACGCACTGAGAACTGACCCCTGTATTGCTTCAAACCCGTTCCTGGTGAACAGTCCGGTGCTGCTGCTGCCAACCCAACAACCCAACGTCTGGCTCCGAGTGCCAGTGACAGAGGGGGCTTCTGGGGCAGCCTCCCTAGCTCACACGTAGAAACTCAACGTCATGGCTGGGTGCAGACCTTCACATCAGGAATCCAACAGACACACAGGGCAAGGTAAAGTCCTGGGAATCGTCGCAGATTTCCTGGGACAGCTGCCTCAAAAACAGACCCATCCCGGGAGCAACCAGACAGGTGGCAGCCCTGGCACCACCCTTCTGCTGTGAGCCCAGAGTGTCCACCAGAGTGTCTGAAAGTGAGAGATACTGTGGACACTGCTGCAGTTCCATCCACCCACTTCCTGTCCAGGGCCACAGGGGAGCCAGGGTCTATCCCAGCAAGCAACAGGCACCAGGCAGGCTACACCCTGGATGGGACCCCAGTCCACTGCAGGACAGACACACACTCACACCAGGGCCAGTCTTCCCAGAAGCCAGGTAACCCACCAGCCTGTCTCTGGACCGTAGGAGGCAACTGAAGCACCTGGAGGAAACCCACACAGAACCAGGAAGAACATGCAAACTCCACACAGACAGCACCCCAGGTCTGGAATGGAACCCAGAATCCCCAGCTGTAGGCCACTAACCACTGCGCCTCCCCTGTGTTATTTCCATTAACCATCAACGCAGCGTTACTCATTAACAGCGTAAACACACCAGTTGTAAAAATCAAAGTCTCAGCAATAAATTATTGTAACGGAGGGAGACGGTGGAGAGACCGGCAGGTTACACAACACCGAGCAGAAAGAGGAGCAAGCCCAAACACCGGTGTTGCGTAAGGATGAAGCCGCCGCTGGACCACGATCACACAGCTGGGCAAGCTGCCATTTGTGGTTTTATTTTTTCATTCAACAAGAACAACAAATACTAAAATATGATTTTGTTATATTTATTATATAATAATAATAATATTTAGTATATAACAAGAACACAGCTGAGGCCTGCGAGAGAAGTAGCCAGAAAATGACTGGATGTGTCAAACAATCAGGGATGTGAACAAATCCCAGTCTTTTCCAAAACAATCAGGACAGGGAGCCCAGATCCTATGGAATTCCTGTCCCATAGAAACAGATCCTCTCCATTGAGGAGATCCTCTCATTGAGTCAGCTCTCGGCACAGGGGACAGCGACAGATTCCTACCCTCCAGATCACCAGTGCTTCCTTTCTTAGTCCGAGAGCTGCTTCTGATTTGAACAAAGAGCGTCAGTGTCAGAATCTGGGGGTATTCTAATCCCGAGCACTGCCGAGCACCTCTGCAATATCTCTGCCCTACTTCTCTATAACCTGGGACACAGCTGGAAGAGCTGTGTGGGTGAGACACCGAAGGACATATCCTGTTCACTTTCATTTTGGAGTACTGCAGTCGAAGTCTTGGCTTGTGCTGTATGAACCGACGCATAACATTAATGGAGCACCAGTAAATATTGCACCAACCGTCTTCCCAAACCCCATTAGAAATTCCAATATCAAGTTCCTTACAAGAAGGAAACAAAGTGGCTTATTAAATGCCTCAAGTTCAGAGGATGCAACACAAGATCATGGAACAGATCAGACCTGCAGAGATTTCTACACTGATGTACAGTTTGCTTAACAAAGGGTCGGAGCTGTACAAAAACAAAAAACAATGTGTGATTGTCTTTTAACTGGTTAAATTATGTCAATGGTTTGCCTGTATACAATTCTGTGTCTTTAAGCTTCTACTGTGAAAACACGTCCCGGAGGAGAAAAGACAAACTGGAGCATAAACTGAGGATTGAGGTAATGTGTACACGTTTTTAATCTGGTTTAATACTCTCAAGGTGTTTTCCTCAAAATAACATTTTGGCGCCCGCCATTTTATTCGGGGATTCGCTTAAAGATAAATTCGGTGATTCCCAAAAAAAATAAGCAGAGCAGGAGGAAAGTGTTTAGTGTTTAACCCAAATGGCAGCCCCCACTGGAGCCCAGCAGCTGTGAGCCTGGCCAGCACCTGGAGGGGAGACTCCTGGGAAAGCTGAGGCTGCTGCTGGAAGAGGTGTGAGTGGGACCAGTAGGGGGCGCTCACCCTGCGGTCTGTGTGGGTCCCAATGTCCTCTTTGGCTGCCGTCACATCATCCAGGTGGGGCTACACAGTGGTGGCGGGAGAGGGGATCCCCATTACCTGTGAGCACTGTTAGTGGAGTGTCCAGAAAGACTGCTATTACTCTTAATTATTATTATTAACCTCACAGGAATATTTTTTTGGCTAGGCTCGGTTAATTTTTAACTCTTGCATTTGCACACTATTACTATTATTATGAATATTACGAAACACAGGAAGACCCGAAGCTCCTGCATTCCTCGGTTTTTCTTCTGCAGTTTTTGCAGGTTTTTTGTTTTTCAACGTGGGGCTGTGCAGCTGCTCAGGAGAAAGCCATAAAGATAGAATATCAGGAAGCCCTAACAGCCTCTCTTGCTGTTCCAGGACGGTGAGCAGAGATCCGCTTTGATAAGAGACCCCTTGTTTGGAGCCTGAGGCTGACCTTCGCTCTCACACGGTCCTTAAGTACTAATTAAATCGCCTGGTTCTCCAGTAAACAGGAACAGCAAAGTAATCGAGAGTTCGTTTAGCCAGTCACAGCTGATTTACTTTCTAAGATAAGGTAAATGCAAATTCCCCTCCTTCCGTGGGGGGGGGGGCCCTCCGGCCTCTGCCCCTCCTGCCCCTGTCCCTCCTGCCCCTCCTGCCCCTCCTGCCCCTGTCCCTCTCCTCCAGCTCGTCGCTCCCGCTGTCAGGGGTCCCAGCTGGGCATGGCGATGGTCTCGGAGTCGCTGTGCGGGGCTGGGGCTGAGGGGGCCTGGATCTTGGTTCTGGAGGCGGCGTCTGGGCTCGGGCCCCCCTGCGGGTCGGGAAGGTGCCACTGGATGAAGGTGAGGTACAGGCAGCTGCCCAGGACCGAGCCCAGCATCGGGGCGACCACAGGTACCCACCACCAGTGTCGGTACGCCCTGCAGAGAGAGGAGAGAGACACTGGGACACACATACACACAAACACAATGTCAACTGGCATGCTACAGAGCCCTAAACAGACAATACACACCATCTGTATTGAATATTTGACCAACATATGTAACAGCAAAAAGAAAAAAGAAACAGACCCTGACGAAGTACAGGCTCAGTGTCCACAGCCCGGCCATAGAAACTGGGCGACACAGGCAGACCTCGCTGCCCAGAGAGGACAGGCTGTGCTCCCACTGTCAGCGGGGAGAAACAGAGACAGAGGTGCACTTCCTACTGCACTGTGACAGATACTCTGGGATTAGAGAAACATTCTTCCCGAAATTCAGAAATCTAGTCCCAGAATTCCAACACCTGCCAGAATCACATGTCCCAATCCTACTGGGAGAGGGAGGAGGGAACTCGGCTGAACTGGCAGCCCAGTATGTGATCTCCTGTCCCAGCCTGAGGAACAGACAGTGAGCCTGTCTCTCAATAATAATAATACAGTGTGTGATCTCCTGTCCCAGCCT